GTCTGGCTTCGGTCAGAACTCGAAGGCAGCTTTCTCTCTGAGGTTTGCAGCAGTTGCTGGGACTCTGTGAGGCAGAGCCCCTAGGGACGGAACTGAGAGCAGCCATAACTGCTCGCTCTGGCCCACCCTGTAGATCCCCTGGGACCCGCCCCACCCAAGCCCTGCGCAGAGCCATTTGCCGGATAGCCTCAGGCAAAGGCTAGATTAGCACCGCCCTAGAGATCCAGCACAGAAGCTCTCCCACTGCAGACACAGCGGACTCTCATAGCCAGTTAGCCTGGAGGTCAAATCACCCCCGGTATTGCTGTCAACAATCAAGGCTTAACTACAACAAGACTGCGCACAAAGACCACTAGGGGGTGTACCAAGAAAGCATAAAAAATGCGGAGACAAAGAAACAGGACAAAACTGTCAATGGAGGATATTGAGTTCAGAACCACACTATTAAGGTCTCTTAAGAACTGTCTAGAAGCCGCCGATAAATGTAGTGAGATCCTCAAGAAAACTAATGAGACCCTCGATGTTATGATAAAGAACCAACTAGAAATTAAGCATACACGGACTGAAATAACGAATACTATACAGACTCACAACAGCAGACCAGAGGAGTGCAAGAATCAAGGCAAAGATTTGAAATGCGAAGAAGCAAAAAACACCCAACCAGAAAAGCAAAATGAAAAAAGAATCCAAAAATATGAAGATAGTGTAAGGAGCCTCTGGGACAACTTAAAGCGTACCAACATCAGAATTATAGGGGTGCCAGAAGATGAGAGAGAGCAAGATATTGAAAACCTATTTGAAGAAATAATGACAGAAAACTTCCCCCACCTGGTGAAAGAAATAGACTTACAGGTCCAGGAAGCACAGAGAACCCCAAACAAAAGGAATCCAAAGAGGACCACACCAAGACACATCATAATTAAAATGCCAAGAGCAAAAGACAAAGAGAGAATCTTAAAAGCAGCAAGAGAAAGAAACTCAGTTACCTACAAGGGAATACCCATACGACTGTCAGCTGATTTCTCAACAGAAACTTTGCAGGCCAGAAGGGAATGGCAAGAAATATTCAAAGTGATGAATACCAAGAACCTACAACCAAGATTACTTTATCCAGCAAAGCTATCATTCAGAACTGAAGGTCAGATAAAGAGCTTCACAGATAAGGAAAAGCTAAAGGAGTTCATCACCACCAAACCAGGATTATATGAAATGCTGAAAGGTATCCTTTAAGAAGAGGAAGAGGAAGAAAAAGGTAAAGATACAAATTATGAACAACAAACATGCATCTATCAACAAGTGAATCTAAGAATCAAGTGAATAAATAATCTGGTGATCATAATAGAATCAGGGACATAGAAAGGGAATGGACTGACTATTCTTGGGGGGGAAAGGGGTGTGGGAGATGCGGGAAGAGACTGGACAAAAAATCGTGCACCTATGGATGAGGACAGTGGGTGGGGAGTGAGGGCGGAGGGTGGGGCGGGAACTGGGAGGAGGGGAGTTATGGGGGGAAAAAAGAGGAACAAATGTAATAATCTGAACAATAAAGATTTAATTTTAAAAAAAAAGTTTATGGATATGGCTCAGTGCATGATATTCTGGGCCTACTATATGTTTCTGTGAATACTGTAAATAGCCATGTCCAAATTAATAGAATGAAGATGGAGAATTGGTTAATTAGAAATCCATTTTTAGAGAATTCACCTTCTAAAATCTAGCAAAGTTTAATCAAGCCCTGGCCAGTGTGGCTAAGTTGGTTGGAGCACTGTCCCAGACACCGAAAGGTTGTGGGTTCAATTCCAGGTTAGGGCACACACCCAGGTTGCAGGTTTGATCCCAGGGTGGGACACGTACAGAAGGCAACTGATCAATGTTTCTCTCCTATCGATGTCTCTCTCTCTCTCTCTCTCTCTCTCTCTCTCTCTCTCCTCTCTCTCTCTCTCTCTCTCCTCTCTCTCTCTCTCTCTCTCTCTCTCTCTCTCTCTCTCTCTCTCTCTCTCCCCCTCCCTCCCTCCCTCTCTCTCTTCCTCTCTTTAAGCATGTCCTTGGGTGAGGAATAAAAGGTAAAAATAATACAAGGAAAAATACTCTATTGGCAAATAGGAAAAGGACAGGTTTGAAAGATGCTTAAAGGTTAATGAAATACATCTTAATACACAGTATACTGCAGAAACAACAGTAAAACCATGGAGAAAGAGAAGCACTATAAGTCAGACTAGAAAATTTCATGTATCTAGTGCATCTTGCCATTTCCATGAAATGTGCCCAGCAAATGTCAGATGAACAAACCACAATATTTAAAACTGTTTTACAGCCTGACAAGCATGGCTCAGTTATTGAATGTTGACTTTTGAACCAGAAGGTCAGGGTTCAATTCCCAGTCAGGGCATATGCCGGGGTTTTAGGCTCAACCCCCAGGGGGCATGCAGGTGGCAGCCGATCAATGATTCTCTCTCATCATTGATGTTTCTTTCTATCTCTGCCTTACTCTCTGAAATCAATAAAAATATATTTTTTTAAAAAACTGTTTTACAAACTGAGTTGTCCAGGATAAAAAAGGTAACTAGCAGTTGTTTTAATAACTTTTATGCAAACTAAATGTTATGTTTAAATGTTTAGGGGCCCAGGGCACGAATTCGTGCACCTTGAAAAGAACTGTGGGCTGAGAGGCTGCGGTGGGCACAGGGGTGGGTCTTGGCCCATCCTCCTCCTGCCTGGCCCCTCCCACTGCGACCCCCGCTGCTGTTGCTCCCACACGCTGATGGTGCTGGCCCCGCTCACACCCACTGATGGTGCAGAGCAATTGGAGCCAGCGCCAGCAGCGGGTGCCAGCGGCAGCTGCTGCCCCGATCGCCTCTCAGGAGCAGTGGGAGGTGGAGAAGCCCTCAGGGGCCATCGGGGCTGGCAGCTGCTGCTTGCACCCACTGAACCCACTGACGGCGCTGAGCAATTGGGGCCAGCGCTGGATGCCGGCAGCGGGTGCGAGTGGGGCCGGTGATGGCAGCAGGTGTGAGTGCCTGGCGGGACCACGGTGTGTGGGAGCAAAGAATTTTCAGTAACCACCAGAGGCTTGCCCCGATGACAGCAACCAGTACTCCGCTCTGGTCTGGTGCCCCGCTCACCTGCTCCACCATCCCACCGTGGCTGATGCCTGTTATGTTCTGCACTTGCTGCCGATGCCTGCCATGTTCCGCACGTGCCTCCTGGTGGTCAGCGCACGTCATAGTGACCAGTTGTTCGGCTGTTCAGTCTATTTGCATATTAGGGAGATATATATATATCATATATATATGATATTAAGAATAAATTATTCAGTTGTTCCTCTAAATATCAAATTTCCGGTGTCATCTAATCCTTGCATGTATGGATTAATAATCAGTTTATATTTTCTAGGCTACAACTAATGCAACATTCTCAAAGAAATCGTCTCCTAACAGAATGACTACTACTATTGTGGAAAGAGACATTATTCAGAACATTGTCTATTTCATTCCTAAGTCAGGACAACTCATCTACTTTAGACTTCAACTTGTAAAGACTGCTATGATCTACAGAGATTGACCATTTGTATTGGAAAGTTAGCCAGCATGCCTTCAGTGAACTTCATTCATTAGTATTAGTCCTGGCAAGGTTTCCATATCTCAGGGTTCATTTTATACTTTAATTCGGTTAGTAGGTCTTTGTTTAATCATCCTATTGAAAGAAGAACAAAGGCGGTTTAGGCGATCAAGGGAGTAATGCACTGTATTTTATCTCTGAAAAAAGCCGGACAAAGCCAGAATGCTCTGATCCTTCTGCTTTTCTTCAGGACATTTGGAACCACAAATCGGCTGGAGGATAAAGATCCTCACTGTACTTAACTGCAGACACCTTCAGAAGAGAAACACGGTGTCAGTCATAGAAATCACGTTTTGCCAGCTACACAGGGTTGGGAGACAGATTCACTCACCAGGAGTTTCTGTTTCCTGGGAGGGAGGGTGTCTGTTTCTTAAATGCCACCTCCTACACTAAAATCACTAGCCAGGCCAGTTTTTCCCTAACTACGCCTCTTTATAGTATTGATGCTAAGGCCAGGCGATAGTGCTGGTGTAAGTGAAAACAGTCTGCGGGTTTACTGACAACTGGACGGCGCCTACCGCTCCCAAGGGGAGTACTTTCCATTCCTTTCCATCAGATTTTCTCAGTCACAGTAGTGCCTCAAGTTTCTGCTGCTCTGTGATTTCCTTCTCCCTCAGAAGCCAAAACCCATTTTCTTCTTATTGCTTGGGTCCCCTCAAGTTTTTCTCCTCATGAAACCATCTTTTCCAAAATACCTTTCTCCCCTCGTCCAATACCGGCCTTTTCTTTTCCTGTTTTGTTTGACTTCACTAAGAAAAGTCACTCCTGTCTACTCTGTCATGCCTGTGGCATTGGTACGCTGCTCTTTTTCTCCAGTATTACTTTGTGGAGAATGACTATGCCCAAGCTTTTCACTTTGTTTTGTAACACAGGTATTTTATTTTTGAATCTACATTTCTTTTTGCAGCTTCTTGAACTTCCTTCCGTTGGTGCACAGACAGCCATCCAGTGGAGACGGAGACCACCAGTCCATCTTACACAGGCCACTGAACAGTCAGAAGGTGGTAACAACGCTGGGTCTCTAGTGACCTGGACTGGATTCAACTCACTGACCTGGAGGGGAAAGGCTCTGTATTCCATTACTAATCCCCTGAGCTATCCAGCCCCCTGAAAATGATTCTTTGGTTTTATTACTGCAAAGGCCATTTATAAAATCATGAACTGGATTTAGGAAAGCAACCATGAAATAGCAAGGGACAAACTGATTGAAATTCCTTCAATGTAGTAAGGGCTGAAGCCTCTCAGTAGGATTGGGAGAAAAGTTAAATATAGGCACCTCCATTCTTATTTCAGACCGGCTCACTTAAACGTGGCAACTTTAGACCCACTGACCATGCCTCAAGGAACTAAATCCTAAATAAAGAAAATGGAAAAGCAAACTATGAAATAGCCAATAATCTTTATTTTGCACTTCCCCACCCCTCTTCACTTTCCAAAAAGCACTAACGGGTATATTTGTGCATGTGAAAATATTGTATCAAGTATTTAGAATGATCTCAAATTAATAAAACAAAAACATGTATCTTAACATAGATGCTTTGTTTTTCTGGTAGGGGTAGAAAAAGTTGGCTTCTAGAACAAGGACGGCAATGAAATACTGTACTCTTAAAAGGGCTACTCCATTTCCACTGACTTGCAATTTAACATTCATGGCAGAAAACCTCATTTCTCTAACCACATAATAGGTCTTAAAATATGACTAATTCATACACTAATATCAATTTACTTGGCATTAAAAAAATCACAATTTCTATTAATATATTTGAATTAGGCTCAATGCCCATACTCTAGCATTTAAGATATCCATTACACTGGCCCAAATTGGGATTATTTCAAAATCAAGTAAAAGTCCATATTTATTCCAAAGTTGCTAAAATATGTTAATAAAATTTGATGTTTTACATTAAAAATAAAATATTTGGTTTATATCTGATATCTATAACATATAATAAATAGTGGGCAGTATAGTAATATAATAAAGTTTTGTGATACCCTGAAATTTGATGAGTTTTTTTAAAAATTCTTAATATTCTTCATTACAGCCTTAAATCACAATATTAATGAACAGATTTGCAGAAATAAAACAATATAAACACAAAATGCTACAGAATGTTTTGTTGTTGTTTTTTTTACTTTTGAGGAATCTACATGTCCTTTAATAAAAGTCAAAGAAATTTACAGAAACAAACCAATTTCAAATAATGAACTGCAAGTCTAAATTGCCGTGCTTTCCTTCTAACTGCTAGGGCCCTTTCCCACCGTGTTGTGGGCACTGTGCAGGTTCAGCTCAAGGTAGGTAACTTCCAACTATGGCTCTGTTTTCTAGCCTTCTTTACTTATGTACAGCAGTAATTACAGACATGGCTGAAATCACAGTGGATTACAGAGAAAGCCAGAATTAAACACGATAAAAATTTTAAAAATAACTACTTCATAAATATTTATTATTTACACAAGAGGAGATCTTCTAGTCTGAGGAGTTTTTATACAAGCTGATGAAATGTATAAGCAGTGAGAAGAACACCAGCAGTTTAAAGAAGCGCAAAGTTAGAATGCAACAAAGACAGAAAGTGTGAGTTAACAAAAATAATTTGCATGAGAGCAAAAAGGACATGATAGAAACCTTTTTCTTAAAAAATATAAGGTATTTCACAAAAGCCTGAACATTTTACATGTTAATACTAAAAATGGGAGGAGGGGAAGCTTCATAAACTTTTATCACAAAAATATTTACCAATACTCCAACTGGAGTTTTCGTTTATGTTATTATGATTATCTTACTATAGAGGGAAAGAAGTTGAAAACTGTATACAGCCTAATGATATCATCCTTAAATTACAGCCAAGGTGGTTTACACATCATCTTGTCATCTAATACCTTCATGAAAAGGCCCTGGAGAGAATAAAGAAAATCAGAAGGGAAGATTATGGTCTTTTTATTAATACTTGTCACTGGTAATAGAAAAATGAAGGCCCGGCAGTCCTCGTGCCACACCTGTACTGGAGTCTCCTTCCGTCACACCATTATGTGGCCACAGGCCAGTATGTTCCAGAGGGAAGCATCCAGAGTGGACGCTGTAGTTCTCTTGTCCTCGGTCTCCCGAGATTCCTCATCCACAGGAACTTAGCGGTAGATGGGACAGCAGAGTTTCATGGATCCCCATCTGAAGTGGTAGGAAAGGAGCCCCGAGGCCACGCCACTGGTCCGTGCTGCAGATGTCAATGTGCCCGATGCTTTCTCTTTTTGTGCTTCTTATCCTTCTTCTTGTTGGCACACTTGGAACAGAACCACTGCATTTCTTCTGGTGGTGCAGCCATTAATCCAACACAGGGCCTACATGTTAAGAAAAAGGGTTTTGGATAAATAAGTTATACATATACATGTACACACACACACACACACACACACACTTTCTTTCTATGTTCTTAAATACTTTTAAATAATTAAATGAAATTTTAAGTCTATGGTATATTCACCAGAAATCCAAACCAAAGAACTCTAATTTATGTAGTACTATTGTTGGGCAAAAGGATGATTATATTACATAATGCCCCTTTTATAGGCCCCAGTGGAGAAATTAATTAGCCCACTTATCCTTTCAGCTACAACTAGTATAATTCTTCTGAGCAATGGCTTTGTTTTTCTCTTATACCTATCATATATTATGTGACTGAATGAATTTCTATCTTTTTATATCTGATATTTTAAAGATAAAATGAGATTATTTGCATACATTTTGGTAGCATTTCTTTGGTAGTGGGGAGCAGTAGTAGAGAAGTAAAAGCAGATAAGCTAGCTGTCCCTTTATTTCTGCAGTTTCTGAATGTTTACAAAGGGGTTATCTCAATGGTACTATGAAGCTTAGCAGCTCTTTACAGAAAATTACTAGAAGGAAAGGAAAGGGGGATCCCTATATCTCTTTTCCATTAGAAGGATATTTAAGTGAAGCAAAATATTCAGAATTTAGGTTGAATAACAATAGTCCAAAGACTTGATTTTTAAAATTAATTACATTTTATTGGCTCAGTGATTTTTGCCCTGTACATGATTCTGAGGACAGCACCGGAAGGGGAGACAATCCAAGATGGACCAAAGTCAATAATCTGCTTTGCAGAGTGTTGCCCCAAGGGAGTGACTGGCACTCATTGATGCTTGGAGTACTCACCAGTGGTACCAGTCATCGCAGCCATCACAGCCGATCATGGGACTCCCATCATCAGGCTTGTTGCATCCAGGGCAGATCCAGATCTGATTGCCCCACTCATCTCGGATCTGAAGTTTTAAATGGGATTGAGGGAGGGGAGGGTGTGCAAACAAAGATGGAATGGGGGAAAAGAACCCAAAAGAGGGCAGGATAAGAGTGATTACTTTATACTGTGAACCTAATACACTGACATATTAAACCAAAAAAAAAGTAGTTAACAATTTATTAAAGTCATGACCATGAGCATCACCATTCTGGGATCATTTCTAATGAATATTTTAAACTCTTTTGTTTAAGTCATTAAAAAAAAGCATTTTATAATAACTTCTGTGAACAACATATCCTACAACCACCTTTATCTAAAAAAAATCCTGTAAACACAGTTCTTAATAATTAGGGTCTTTATGGCAATAACAACTGATATTTTTGAACTATAGAGCTCAACCATATGTAGTTCCTCAGTCGCATTCACAGGCATGGAATTCATATGTACAGCCAATAGTGCATGTATCACCTTATTACTTATTAGCCAAACCCTTCTCCTGAACTAGCTGATAAGATCAAGGATATAAAAGAGTTGTTACTAAGTAACTTTCCATTCCCTTTATGACATTTTCAGCAAAGTACAATCACTAAAGGGCAAATGAAATAAGGAACTCATGAAGCCAAAGAACTACACATTTAAATATTATTTTTCTACAAAGATGATGTGCTTGGGAGTTTACTTAACTTACCGGTTCTAAATAAGACACATCCCTAATTATTCCACTTCCTCAAATTCCACATTAACCAACCAATTTGGAAGAAACAATTCTATGATGGGCATTCAAAAACAGCAACAACTAAATGCTAATTTTCAAGTTTTCACAATAACACATGAATAATATAATTTCATTCAGTTTATTTTGTAAAGTATGGTTCCTTCCTTCACTTTCAAATATAACACTGAATAGAAATGCAAAAAGAAAGGGCTTTCTTTGTGTGTAAGGGTGTATTGGGGGCATAGCTGTTTCAGTCTAGTGATGTGCTATTTTAAGGCCTGCCATGTTTTAACGAGTCTCACAAAGACAGTTGTGTTCATAGGAAAGCTTCCTAAAGAAAGCTGTGGGCAGCTACATCTCTGACTCAGCCCTCTCTAATTTCAAGGGGAGAGAACCACCAGTTACTACATGCCAGCTGTCTATGGTTAAGACCAGTCCAGATCCTATGCCCTGAAGCTGCCATGCATGGCCAGTCCTGCTGCTAGTTGACCTGTCTTGAAATTAGAAGGCCATGACTCTATTGCTACAAGAGGAATTTGCCATAGCATCCCTAATAACTAATACTGAACACTTGACAGCTTACTAAGTTCTTCCAAACATCTGCTTCATCTAATCATCTTAAAACAACCCTTGGATAGGTTAAGAATGGGGAGACTGGAGCTATGGAAAGGTAACTGCCTGTTCCAAAAGTCACACTATTGCGCAGTGACAAAATCAGCTGTTTTGCTCTATAGACTGTATCTTTCCTCCAAATCACACTTCTTGTTCTCAGTCTACAAAATGTCTCTTAGGAGACAGAAGGCTTTTCATCCACATTGTCTATGTAAATCTGATCCATCTTCAAAGAGTAAGCCTCAAAAATCCACTGGAGAACCAGAAATTTTAGGGCTAGAACAAACTATAATCTAGTGATATAGATAATAGTTATAATCTAGTGATAATCTAGTCTACCATAAACCCCTTCATTACAGATGAAGAAATGGAGGTTAAACAAAATCTTTCCTGATCAACCTGCCTTGCAGTGACATGGCCTCAATTAAACACCTATAGCAATTGGCCCTTAAATGGACCAAATTTTTAAAAGTATACTTTTATTGATTTCAGAGTTGAAGGGAGAAGAAGCGAGAGATAGAAACATCAATAATGAGAGAGAATCACCGATTGGCTGCCTTCTGCACACACCCCACTGGGGTTCACGCCCACAACCTGGGCATGTGCCCTGACCGGGAATTGAACCTTGACCTCCTGAACCATGCCGGCTGGGCAAATGGACCAATTTGATGATCACAGATTTCTGTATCACATCTTCCATTTTTGTCTTAAATAGCCAATTTAATACTTTTCTGTTAATTTTCCAGATCTTTATATCCTCTCTCAATACTTTCAAGATTTTTATCCTCTGAATCATTATAGTGCCTCCAATATAAAATGACTTGTTGAAATTTCCTTCCAAAATGCTTTAAAAATATAATATTTGCATGATTTATAACAACTATCATGAATCCTACCCCACCACTTTTCAATCATATCTACTTGAAAAGATTCGAGCTATCACTAGGCTTATAGGTCACAGTCTGTATATAGAGTATTTGGTGGTCAAGGCCATGTCAGTTGCTGAACTCAACAAGGTGAGTTTTGACATCTGAAGACACACTGTATACTCAAAGAGCTCTGTGGTTTAGAAGTTCATTTTCATTTATTATGCAAACCTAGTATATTCTGGACCTTAGCCAATGACATACTATAATTATTGCTGTTACTCAGAAACAGTAGCTGGCCCATAAGATCTGTATATATTATATAAATTATACTTTTAAGTGAATAATTTAATTGCTTGATCAAAAAATTCAGTGTGAGATTTAAATATAACTATTATTCTCTATATTCATACACTGATATTGTTGTATATATGTATATAATCATATTCTAAAACAATATAAAGAAAAACAATGCTTTGACATTATTTATGAAGACTAAATATGCGAACACTGAAATACAATACTTTTCTGCCAAAAGCTTGAAAATGCAATGAAAATATCTTTCCAGTCATAAAGAATTGCCTCTGAAATTCAATAATGATACATATGACACTGCTTTTTAATTGAAAACATTTTCATGATAAAAGAGTAAGCTTTTAAGTGACTTAAAAAAAAATGCTATAAAATAAATGCTGCGTACCACATAAGTGCTGACGGTCTCCGTTACCACACTCCGGACAGGGGCTTTTGAACTTCCGGCTCCAGAGATGGCAGGGGACGGGGATGGCATCAAAGCGGGGGACGAGGTGGACTGTGCAAGGAGTGGCAAAGGCACTGGGGCAGGAGTGACATGCACTGGCACAGTGGCTGGGACTGACACTGGTGGTGGGGTCTTGGGTCTATTCAGAGAAGGAGCTGGCTTAGCCTCGGGGGCTGGAACCACTTTGCTGATGACACTGTCAACAAAAGAGAAAAGGAAAAGTCAAAACAGAACAGCTGAATCAAACTAAATATTTTAAAACATTATTACAAAGTAACTTTCTTCTAGTCGCAAAATACTTTTCTGAAGAGTCCAGAGATAGCTACAGACCTGAGTTCAAGGTCCTTCACCCATTCACCTCTCAACTTATTCAAGAGTCACATATGTTCTCTGGGGGATGGGAGGAGAAGAGCAGTTCTAGCCCCTTTCCTGGTGATGTTGCCAACTAATAACTAGAGCTGTGCAATGAGGATCTGTCTCTTCATTAACAGCATCTTATTCACAGAACTCATGCAGTGGAAGGAGCACTGGACTCAGAGTCAGGATATCTACATTCAAATTCTAGGTCTGACACAGGCTAGCTATGAGACCTTGGGTAAGTTATTTAAAAATATGATGCACTGAGTGCCTATAAGAAATTAGATATTATACTTGGCACTTTATATATATAATCTCATCTAGTTCTCACAACTTCAAAGAAGTTATAGTGATCCCATTTTATAGATGAGGAAACAGGATTAAAGAGAGAAAGGAACTGGGTAAATGGATGGCAGGCTTTGAACCATGATCTTTTGATTCCACAGCTTTCTTCTTCTTCTTCTTTGTTTTTTTTTTTTACGAGTTCCTTTACTTGAAAAAAAAAAATCATTTCAAGCACAGAGAAAACAGACAGCTTAGGTAACAGCCAAGACGTTAGCCCTCTGCCATATGTGCTTCAGGTCTCTCTCCCTCGCTCCTCCAGAGTAAACACTCTCTGCAAGCTGGCAGATTTGTTTTTGTAAGTTTGTTCGTTGTATCTTTTCTGCCTTCGTGGGTACTCATAAACAATACACACTGTACTACTGGTTTATGTGCTTCAACTATACAAACAATATCAAATTATATTTATTTCTCGCAACTAGCTTTTCTCACTTAGTCTTTTGTGTGAGATATAATTGACATGTAACATTGTGTACGTAGGAGATGTACAATGTGTTGGTTTGATATTATTGTAATACTGTAATATGACTAGTACAGTGGCATTAGCTAATACCTTTACCATGCCACATAATTAACAGTTCTTGTTGTGTTCAGAACTATTAAGATCTAGTCTTAGCAATTCTGATGTGTATAATCCAGTAATGTTGAAGATAATCTCTATGCTGTGCATTAGATCTCCAGAATTTATTTATCTATTAGTTGCCCACTTAGTTTTAAGTCTCTTGATTTATCCATGTTGATACATATGATCAATATTATTTATTGTACTTGTTAAATGGTATTCCATGGTATGGGTAAGTCAAGGGACTTTTGCTCATTGCCCTACTGAGTGTAGGACATATTGCCTTGTACATATTATATGCTAACTGTAAATACATTCAAGAATTTCCCAAGACTACAGTCCTAGATAAAGCTACGGGGGTCACAGAGTATGCACTTTTTACCTTGACTAGGAATCCCAAGCTGCTCTCTAAAATAACTGCACCAAATTATCTCTTCCTACTGTTGCACAATTATCTAGGCCTTGCTTTTCTGATCAACAAAGTGAAAATAAATATAGCTGCTTCTGATAGTTTTAGTGAGAACCTGAACACAGAGAAACATGTCAAACACTATATACAAATGTGTTAGCACCAGCAATATATTCATGGTTCTTATGCATGACAACCCCTAGCACCACCATTATCAGCCTGCATAGTTCCATTTTCTCAGACCACCTCCACTAAAAAGCATGATTTTTTGCTAATCTGATCAGAAGATTTTTAAGACATTAAATTATTTCAAAAAATGCCATTGTTATGGAAGCAAATAACTAATGCTGTTTAGTTACTCTCCACTTGTTTCATGCAAGTGTGTGATACCTTCTGAACTTGAATATAGTCAAAGACCAGAAAATAATAAATGGGTAACATAAATAATAGTGAATATTTATTGAACACTTACTAAGTACCCAACTGCTCTAAGCACTTGAAAGCCAAATGCATACCAGGCACTCTGCTAAATGTTTACTTGCCTTATCTTACTTGATCCTCATAACAACCAAATGAGGTAAGCACTGTCATTACTTTCCTCTTGTAGATGAAGAAATCTAGGCACAGAGAGATTAGTAGACTGCTGTGTGGCAGAGCCAAAATTTAAACCCAGGCAGTTTGATTTCAGAACCTGTGATCTTAACTAATATAGCATCGACCCTTGATGCTTACTGAATGAGTGTTGCCTTATATATGAGTTATTACTATATTTATTGCATTAATATCTATAATGCAAGCATTCTTTATTTTTATGGTTAGGCTAAAAATTTAAAACACACTATTTGCGGAGGCAATTTCCCGTAAGAGTTTAAAACATGGGTGCTGGAAACAAAACTAAAGAAAATGCAGGAACCCAGAGGTAAGTAGAACACAGATGTTTTGCCTGAGGGTATTTGCTCATAAGGCAAATCTGATCTTTGGTTTTGATAAAGAGGATAGGTTCCAAAGGCCAGGGACTGCCAAAGTGTAAAGTCTAAAAGAACTCCTCCCCACATTAAGGACTCCCAACAGGCTACACCAATTAGGTAAGGACGAATGAGAATCTCATGAATTCTCAGCTCTGGTGGTCCAGGGCACTATGTAATATTTTAAGTCATTTGGACTCGTAATGTGCCCAGATACCCAGCACAAATCATCCTGAGAGGAAATATTATTAATATTATTAACACAGACAATTATTTAAGAAAAAAAGCAGCAGATAATGAAAGATAACCAGACATACAAGGAGGCAAGGCAGCCTCAGGAAGAAGCAGAAAAAATAACAGACAATATAAAGAGACTCATAATGATCATGACATAGACCCTAGAACTATCAACTACAAAACCACTCTACTTACAATGCTTAAAAAATAAAAGGCAAAGATTGAAATTATTGGCAGGTAATAGGAGGGTATAAAGGGTGACCTAGTAAATTTGAAGATAACAGACTTTATAGAAATGTAAAAAAATGTAGTAAATGAAGTGTAAAACTTAATGGATGGGAGAATTAGAAACTGAATAGTAAGACAGAGGAAATAATGTAGAACCTAGCCTTGAGAGGCAAAGAGAATACAATTAAAAAGTCTAATTAGTACAAGTTTAATCATAATGCTAGAGAGAAAGGGGCAAAGGTAAAATGTTAACAAGGAATATCTAAGACTTTTATAGAACTGATGCAAGATACCAATCCTTAGACTTAAGACACCTAACAAACCCCAGGCAAGATAAATAGATATGTCAGAGTGAAATGAAAACATCACAAGAGAAAAGTCTGAAAAGCAGCCAGAGGGAAAAAAAAACACAATGACTTTCTTTCCATTAATCTTCACCCCAGGAAATTTTTTTCCATTGAGTTTTAGAGAGAGCGGAAGGGAAGGGGAGAGACAGACAGAGAAACATAGATGTGAGAGAAACACATCGATTGGTTGACTCCTGCATGCACCTCAACCAGGACCGGGTATTGAGCCTACAAATAAGGTACTTGCTCTTGACAGGAATCAAAACCAGGACCCTTCAGTCTGTGGGCTTACACTCTAAGAACAATTACTTTCAAAGAAGAAACATATTACAGCTGATTTCTCAACAGCAATGATGAATTTAGAAAACAGTGGAATACATCTTCAATGTGCTGAAGAAAAATAAAGTTTGTCTTTAGAAACATCTTTCAAGAATAAGGATAAAATAAAGACATTTCAGGCAAGCAAAACCCGAGGATTTGAAACCAGTGGACTCTTACTACAAGAAATTCTAAAGTAGCGATCTCAATATTTTTTTTTACATTTTTACATTCTTAAAAAATTGAAAAACCTAAGTAATTTTTATGTATGTTTCATTTGTGAATATCTACCATATTAAAATTGAAACAGAAACTAAAAAGTAATGATCTAGTAATTAATTTAAAACTAGCAGTAACAGCCCGGGCCAGTGTAGTTCAGTGGTTGAGTGTTGACCTATGAACCAGGTTCAATTTCCGGTCAGGGCACATGCCTGGGTTGCGGGCTCGATTTCCAGTATGGGACGTGCAAGAGGTTCTGTTCTCTCTTATCCTTGATGTTTCTAACTCTCTCTCCTTCTCCCTTCCTCTCTGAAATCAATAAAAAATATATATAAAAAATAAAACCAGCAATAATAAACCCATTACATGCTGACAGATAACTTTATTTTTTAATGAAAAGTAAGTATGTTTTTCAAGACAAAACTATTTTGTGAGAAGACTGGCCACTATTTAATATTTTGGCAAATCTTTTTAATGTATGCATATGTAGCTGGAGAAGGGAGGAGTATTTTAGTGGCCTTTTCAGATAATTGTGTAAATTCTTCTTTGATACTGCACCAAAATGCAACATGTGGTAGTTTCTTAAAAGGTAGTTGCAATGTACAATCTGAAACCATATTCTGTTACATTAAGATCCATTGCTATGTCTAGCATTTTGAATAGATATTTTTTTTACCCATACATGGTTTTGTAATATCATGCACCAGTCATTTGGAATGTTGGTTGATGAAATTATGTAGATCTTCCAAACATTTACACATTTCATGATACAAGATGAAAAAATGACATTTGTTGGTGTCACCATCATCTCATCAAATTTTCTTAATGTGTTGAGGAACTGTCAACTTGTAATGAGATGTTTTCTAAAATTCTAATTTTTTTTTAAATATATTTTATTGATTTTTCACAGAGAGGAAGGGAGAGAGAGATAGTTAGAAACATCGATGAGAGAGAAACATCGATCAGCTGCCTCCTGCACATCCCCCACTGGGGATGTGCCCGCAACCCAGGTACATGCCCTTGACCGGAATCGAACCCGGGACCTCTCAGTCCGCAGGCTGACGCTCTATCCACTGAGCCAAACCGGTTTCGGCTAAAATTCTAATTTTTACTAAAAGCTTAATTTTATAATTTATAACAAATGCTCTCAATATTTTCTTTGAAATAACAGGTTTACTGTGTTCTTTTTTGAGAAAATGTTGGCTAAATATC